AAAAAAAAAAGAGAAGAGGATAGAGAAAGATAGCAAGTGAACAATAGAGGGGATGTTAGTGAGAAACAGATATGGTTTATTATCTGTTGAAGATGACGTGTATAGTATTCTCAACTGGACTGGTCTGGGAAGTATTTCATGATGGGTGAAGTCTTTTAACAAGCAAAATGAGAAATAGTGATTGACTGTTTTAAAAAATTATAATAATAATAATTATTGGGAAATGCATGGAAAAGACTTTGAATGATAAAGCGGGGAGATCGATGCCTCTGTATTGACTGACATGCATGGCATTCCCTTTTGAAAAAGCAATGGAAGTCAATGTAAAGTTATATGTAATCCAATGTAATATAAAGAAGATTATGATAATAATAAAAAAAAAAAAAAAGAAAAGTTCTTTTTCCTCTACAAAAGCACACACACACACACACTCACACACATCTTTGGAGGTAGCATTTGGGGAGTAAAGAGAGAGGAGAGCTTTCTGGGTCGGCTTAGAAATTCAGATGTCACAGCTAGACTGTCTTCATGCCTCATTTCTGTAGAGACTTACTATCATGACTATATGACTATCACAGAGTTGTACATAGCAATTGCTTACAAAAACGTAACTGGCTGTGGTGTGGAGAACAGACTGCAGCACAGAAACAGGGAGAAGCTAGGCTTGTCCCTGTGAGAACCCCTGTGGCTCTGACCAGGGTAGCGGCAGTGGAGCAGATGAGAACTGGTCAGATTTTGAAAATAGGCTGACAGTAGAAACAAGAGGATTTACATATGCAACACACTCTTATGTGAAACCTTATGTTACACATTCTGAATTGGGTCCATCTTTTGCTGAGAATCACTGCACTGACTTCGGCCTATGAAAATAACACCCACTGTTTTCATATCTGCATGTACTCATTACACTAAGCACCGTACCTTACAAATTTGTTGAAATTCACGTAGATCTTTGAGATTAATTACAACAGACTTCAACTTTCAGTTCTGACATGAGATAAACTACAGTAAGTTAGTCAATATTTTGGATCTTATTCCAGAACTCATGGTAGAAAGTGCTCGGAAAACACATGGGGACGTGTTGGATACAAAATTAATGTTTGATTTAGAACCTTGTTTTATTTAAATGTGTTCCTCATGCTACAGCACAACCCTTCAAAGTCAACCAAGTATATAACAGTAATATGCTTCCTCAAAATTTATAAACTTAAATAATGACCCATAACCACAGCTTCTAAACTTCTACAAGGTATCTTCAACATCCAGAAAGCACAAAAGACTGTGGAATCAAATCCCATCTCAATGCAGATTTAAGAAAAGCAAACTAAAGAGCACTATCAGACTACCAAAACTCACTAAGTTGCTACTTAATATATCCATACCTCTCAGCTCTCTAAACTTATTTCTTAACACGGGAGAGTTTTAAAAATTAACATCTGGGCTCCACCCAAGCCAATTAAATCAGAATCTCTGTGGGGTACTTATATTTTTCAAGTTTCTCAAGCCATTCTAATGTCAGTCACAAGTTGGGAATGACTGCTCTAACAGAATCTCTTAAGAAAAAACATAAATAAAATTTGAACTACAACATAGCACAGGAAAAGTACAGGGACATGGAGAATAAGTTAAAAATCCAAAGGACTCACCACTCTGTTTCCTAACATCTTTTACTTCTTGAAAGGTCCAATTATTACTACTACTGGTATCTACTTTACAACCACATCAATTAAACAGTTAAAAAAAAAACCCGCAAGGCTGAGAAAGATCTGTTCTACTTATCAGGACAACTGTTTCATATAATGTTTTTTTTTTCCAATGGAAGAAAACTGCCAAGTTTTAGGTGTAAACCAAGAAAGAAATAATCTTGGGACATCACAAGGAAAGGGTGGGAACTTCTGGCCCGGGTTTCCAGTGTTCCAGTTCAGAAAAAGAGTAAAGGGAAAGATTTAGCAGGTGGTATGGTGGTTAAGGTGCTGGACACTCCCACATGGCTGACCGCGGTTCAAGTCCTGGACCTGGTAGCTTGCGTTCTCACTTTCTCTCTCTCTCTCTGTCTCCCTCTGGTCAAATTAAAAAAAAAAAAAAATGAATAAATAAAATAAAATAATTATTTTAAAAAAAGAAAAAAAAAGAGTAAGGGGAGAGAAAGGTTTGTCTATGGAAATGAGCATTCATGCTCTAAGGGACAACTTCATTTGACCCTATTAATTTCCTTTCACTCAAAATTTCAAAGACAAAGCAACATAAAATATGGGGCCAAACAATGGGGAGCTGGTCATCAAGGAGAATGTGTGTCCTTAGGTTTTAACTAGTACAACAGCCCTCGGCCTGGAGCTACTGAAAGACAAATCATCAAAAAGAAGAAGAAAATCTTTATTTCAAACAGGTTTGGTGATAGGTGTGCTACAGTAAAGGCTGGATGTAGTAGTTTCATTTCAAACCTGCCCTGATGTTTAAGTTAGACATTTGGGAATGCTTATTATGCCAACTTTTACATTTATTATAGATTCTATTTTAGTATCAGAGATTAAATTTTCATCACCAAAAAATGAGAATAACCTTACAGCTACCTAAGGTATAGGCCGTGAAATTAATTTCCTTGTATTGCTCTGAAAATATACCCCTAGGTTAAGAGAAAATCCGACTCCATCCAAATGTATTATTTAACTGGGATTCTTCAGTCATCATCTACTGTTGGCTTGATAGTCACTCCTCTTCTTATTTGACCCCAACCAATTAAACTGCAAAACAAAAAGAAATCATGAATTTTACATCTACTTCATTATCATTAACACACAAGCATGTGATAGAACTGATTTTACTTGCCTATCTTCTATATTGAAATTTGTCCCAAAGACTGCCCCTCCAAAGAGTTGCTCCCATAAATACTGATCCTCTATCAAAATATACCTATTGGAATCTATTTCATAACCGTATCAATTGAATAGTTAAGAAAAAACAAAATAAGACAACTGTTTGATGTAAAAATACTCTCCAATGAGAGCAAACTGCTGGTTTTAGGTGTAAATCAATGCAGAAATAATCTCGGGACAGCACAGATTCTGTTTCAGAATCACCTAAGAGTCCACCTAAGGAACCACCATGCTGATGTACAACCTCTCTGTTTGTTTGGTTTTAAATAATTACTTTATTATTATTATTTGTTTTTAAAAATTTGACCAGAGAAAAGACAAAAGTGAGAAAGCAAGCTGCCAGGTCTAAGACTAGAACCATGGCCAGCCATGTGGGAGTCCAGAATCTTTAACCACCATGCCACCTACCAGCCAGTTTGTTTTTTTTAGAGGGAGATTTTTGCTATAGGGTGCATATGCTCATCAGAAAGAAAGAGACAGAAAGCAAGAAATCACCCCCCAGGGAAATGACCATGCCGCAATCCCTTCTTCTCCATCCTCCTCTCAGGATTTTGGGCAGGCGCGCGTGCACAAACACGTGCCCAGCGTGTGTTTAAAGTCACCAAGTTCGGGACTCAGACCACTGTCGACTATGTGGGTGGGAGTCCAGCGACATAACCATTACGCCATCTGCTGGTCCCAGTCTGACCATTTTTAAAAATTTCATTCTCTACCCATTTCTCCTTAAAAAATGCTTCCCTACCATTTGCAGCATCTCAACAGTGCACAATGCCTTTAGCATAACCTTCTCTGGTAAAGAAAAATAACAGAAGAATGAGAGGTAAACGCAGGCTTACGAGGTTACTCCTTATAGCAAAGGGACCTCTGCTCCCTCTTTCAATATCTGCCCTAATCAATGACCAGTCTGTACATGGCTATCTCAACTGTAGCTTCTAAACCAAAACTCTTCTAGACCACGATTCTAAAGAATGTTAAGGAGTGTTCAGATGCTCTCTTGTCTAAAAATTTTAACATATTTGCTAATTTTTAAAAAAGAATTATCTTTTAATTTATTCATTCATTCATTTATTTTAATTTGACCAGAGAAAGACAGAAAGGGAAAGTGAGAAAGCAAGTCACTAGGTTCAGGACTCGATCCATGGTTGGCAATGTGGGAGTGTCCAGTGTCTTAACCACCATGCCACCTGCTGGCGCCCATACTTGCTAGTTTTGAAGCAAAATGATAATAATATAATCAATCCATCCAGTTTTTAAAATCGTATTATTTAGACCTTTTCTAAAGAAATTTTAAAATTATTTTATCTAACTTTATTTATTTTAATTTGACCAGCGAGGAAGATAGCGAGAGAAAGAGGGAAAGTGAGAAAGCAAGCCACCAGGTCCAGGTCTTGAACCACAGTCAGTCATATGGGAGTCCAGCACCCTTAACCACCACACCACCTGCCAGGCCCTATTTAGGTCTATTTTTTAAATAATTATTCGATTTTTAACTTATTATTTTTCAATTCACGAGAGAGAGAGAGAGAGAGAGAGAGAGAAGGAAAGTGAGAACACAAACCCCCACATCTGGGATTCCAACCAGTGGTTGGCTATGTGGAAGTCTAATGCCTTTACCATCATGCCACCTGCTGGCCCCTATTTAGGCCTATTTTAAAATACACTGGATGTCTTTGACTTGACTAATAGGCACTGTATTATGCTGGGATAAAACCATATTGTATACTGTAAAGGATGTACCATGATTAAATTGAAAATTTTTTTTAAATAAATAAAATACGCTGGAAATCAGTATGTCTACAATCATTAAACAACACACAGCGTAATCATAACGAGAGGAAACCAGAACAGGTATAAAAGAGGTATAAATAACCACAAAGCAAATAATCCTTTATTTGCTTGAAAAATAACAAAAACCATAGTTTTTTAAAAAAATTGTTAATTTGGGGCCGGCAGGTGGCATGGTCAATAGAGGCGCTGGATTCCCACATGGCCAATCACAGTTCGAGTCCTAGATCTGGAGGCTTGCTTCCTCACTTTCTCTTCCTCTCTCTCATTCTGTCTGGTCAAGTTAAAAAAAATAATAATAATAAATTGAATTAAATAAATAAATCTTTAGAAAGAAAAAAGTTAATTTTTTTTAGTTTGCTATAGAGCATGGGCACTCACCAGAGACAGGCAGGAAGTGAGAAATCACTCCTTAGAGGGATGGCCATGCCACAATCCCCTCTCAGGATTCGATTTTTAAGCTGCTGGGTCCAGGCCTTGAACCACTGGCTGTGTGGGATCCAGTTGCCTTACCTTAGAAAGCATCTACTAGCCCTAAAGCTTTACTCTTTCTTAAATTACAGAGTAGTAATTCAGATCAACCTTCTGAACAATAAATGATGATAGACCATCATGTGGCACAATACCGGGAAAGCCTTAATAAAGGAGATAGGTAGTTGGGGGACCAGCAATTGGAGTAATGGCTATGTTGTTGGACTCCCATGTAGACGACCACGGTTTGAGTCCTGGACCCGGTGGCTTAAACTCACACTGGGCACATGTGCGTGCGAACCCAAGATCCTGAGAGGAGAATGGAGGAGAAGGGATTGCGGCGTGGCCATCCCCTCAGGGGATGATTTCTCATTTTCTGTCTCTATCTCTCTGGCAAACACAACCTAAAGGGAAAACCTCTAAAAAAAAAAAAAAAAGATAGGTAGTGATAAAAGAACAGAAAGCTAAGGATGATCTGAATAATTAGAAGAACAACCAGACACAAAATAGCCTAATGTAGAGTTTATACAAGATAATATGGGACTAGTTATATGGAATGTACTTCATCCTACTTGGAAGCCTACTTGGCTTCCAGGAAGATTCCAAATAGGAGAAAGCAGTGAGAAGAACCTAGAAATAATACTGAGTGCAGTATGATGAAAATGTTTTGGGAGACTCATTTTGACTGAACTAAGAAACAAAGGAATAGGCAAACTATGAGTCTTCCGCAGTAACCTGTAAGTGTGAAATGATAATGGTGTGGATGATGATGAGGTCACACAGAATAAGGGAAGGGGCAGACTCAAAAACCTGAGAAAGAGCCAAAAGAACCCAGAGCTAAAGCTGTGTTGCCTATCTCTGTCCACTCATAGGACCTAGAAGTAATAGTACCCTGGGAGCAACAAGCACTCCTGGTACTCAGATCTTCGTGACTAAATACCATTTTCCACTAAAAGGAAACAGGGTTCCTTATAGAAATGGCCAATTCTAAAACTGGAGCAGTGAAGGTACAAGATGAGTCTGAAACATCTTGGGCCAGAAAATAAGGTGGTATTAAAAAAAAAAAAAAGAAAGATAGTTTTATGTTGAAAGGATAGAGGAGTCAATTTAAGGGTCTTCACTGGCCAGATCTTGGAAAATTTGCACATTAAAATAAATGAAGACCCAGGCCCACACACAGCATGGTGGTTATGTCACTGGACTCGCGCAGGATCAACCATGGTTTGAGTCTCAGACCCTGTGGCTTCAAAATCACGCCAGGTGTGTGTGAGTGCATGCCTATGATCCTAGGAGGAGAAGGGATTGGGGTGTGGCCATTGCCCCCTGGGGGGTGACTTCTCACTTTCCCTCTCACTATCTCTGTCTGTCTTTCTGGTGAGCGCACGTATCCTATGGCAAAAACCTCTAAAAAATAAATAAGTAAATAAAATGAGGACAGTAATGGATCATAACCTATTCCACATTAAAACTAGATAGGCAAATAAATAACAGGTCATTCTCCCTGGGGGCTACTTTCTCACTTTCCCCTTCTTTGTCTGGCGAGAACACATACCCTATAGCAAATTAAAACAAAACAAAACCAACACTTAAATACAAAATATAAATTTTGGTATTTTATCGATGACACATGCCTGGTGTGAGTTTTTTTTTTTTTTTTTGAAAGATTTTTTCTATAGGGCGCATGCACTCACTGGTGAGACACAGAGACAGAAAGCAAGAAATCACCTACCCAGGAGGATAGCCACACCACAGTCCCTTTTCCTCCAGTCTTCTCTCAGGATTTTGGACACACATACATACGCACCCAGTATAAATTTAAGCCACCGGGTCCAGGACTTGAACCGCGGTCGACTACATGGGAGTTCAGCGACACAGCCATTACACTAACTGCTGTTGCCATCGATGTTAAATTTTGAAGTTATTATATCAGAGAATATCCTTGATTTAAGAAATATACACTAAAACATTAAGAGATGAAGCGGGGGTCTAGCAGGTGGCATGGTGGTTAACGGTACTGGACTCCCAACTCCCACATGGCTGATTGTGTTTCGAGTCCCAGACCTGGCAGCTTGCCTCTTCTCTTTCTCTCCCTCTCTCACTCTGTCCCTCTCTGGTCAAATAAAAAAATAAAGTAAAATAAAATAATACTTTAAAAAAGGGGGGGGGGAGAGATGAAGTAGGGACCAGCAGTTGGTGTAATGGTTATGTTCCTGGACTCCCATGAAGGCAACCTTGGTTCTAGTCCTGGACCTGGTGGCTTAAAACTCACACCAGGGGCATGCGCATGCCCAAAATTCTAAGAGGAGAATGGCGTGGCCATCCCCCCAGGGGGTGATTTCTCATTTTCTGTCTCTCTGTCTCTCTCTGGTGAGCATATGTGCCCTGTAGCAAAAATCTAAAAAAAACGAAACCAAAACCAAAAAAATATATTTAACTGGCTAGGGACCAGCAGATAGTATAGCGGTTATGTCACGGGACTCCCACAGTCAATCAAGTACCAGACCTGGTAGCTTGAAAATCAAGCTGGGCGTGTGTGTGTGTGTCCAAGACCCCAGGAGGAGAATGAAAGAGGAGGGATTGCAGTGTGGCCACACCCTGGAGGGGTGATTTCTCACTTTCTGTCTTTGTCTCTCTGGCGAGTGCATGCACCCTTATAGCAAACATCTCTTCTAAATTAAAAATATATATGTGTGCACGTACGTGTGGGAAAAGGGCATGTAGAAATTTTCTGTAAAATTCTTAAAATTTTCCTGTTTAAGTGTGAAATTATTTCGTAATCAGATATTTTAATAAGTCAGATAAGCCAGCCTATGGCATGGTAATTAAGGTGTTGGACTCGCACATGGCTAGCTATAGCCCATGTCCTGGACCTGGCAGCTTGAAAATCACGCCAGTCTCCTGTGCATGCATGTCCAAAAATCCTGAGAGGAGAATGGAGGAAATTGTGGGGTGGCCATCACCCTGGGGAGTGATCTCTCACTTTTCCTCTCTCTGTCTTTTCTCAGTGAGTGCATATACCCTATAGCAAAAACAAAAAAAGTCAAAGATGACAGACTTAGTCAACCTAAATCCATTGGTTTTTGTATACACTATATATAAGATAATACCAACTGTAATACCTGGACTAAAATATGAGAGCACAAATCAAGTTTTCAAAGTTACCTAAATAAACAGATGAGAGTTAAAGCCACAATAACTATTGCTTTCAAGAAGAGTATGCATGAATATACCACCAAGAACTTAAAGATACTGTCTTTTTTATGACAGTGATAAAGACTAATAAACTTACCGCCAGTGTTTCTCAACTCTTCGGCTAAGAGCGATTTTTTCTCCTACTTCTGTGCACACAGGATTAGTCAAAACAATTTTGCCCAAATCAGCCTTGACAGCACTAACTCTCCCTCCTGTTGAAAGGGATCCTATGTTCACCATAAGTACTTCATTCTTAGATAGCTTTTGCACCTAGGGAAATAAATTGGAGAAAAACAAGTCCCAAATCAATAAAATGCATGGCAATTTATTAAATACTTCTGGAAATAATACAATTGTAGATTAAAAAAAATTCTTCAGAAATTTTGCTGCATGTGCCATATGGCAAACAAAAACAAAAACAAACTAAAACCCAAAATACAAAAAAAAAAAAACCAATGCTGTAGTGAAATTTGCTGGGACAGGGCACAGGCATTTTTTAAAATGTTGAGAAATACCAACTTTCTCTCAGACAATGTATTACCAACTTATATTTTCTCCAAAAACACAGGACTGCTTATTTTCCTACATCCTTGCCAACACTAGGTGTCAGCAATTCTCCACCTTTGTCAACCTAATCAATATTAAAAAAAAAAAAAAAAAAAAAGCAAACTCATGGGTATTAGGAATATCATGTGTTTGTCATACGTGACGCAAATACTTTCCTTGGTTTCCTTTTCTTCTTCTTTTTTTTAACCTTAAACTGACTGTCATGTAGAAGGTCTTCCTTTTCAAAAAGCCAAATTTACCTTTTCCTTAATTCCATGTTAACTACATAAGAATCAAACTTAAAAACTTGTTTTAATTTTACTATCTGTCAGGCCAGCCAGTGGCCTGGTGGTTTAGGTAGCTGGATCCCACATAGCCAATAGTGTGGTTTGAGTCTCAAATGTGGCGGCTTGAAAAACGTTCTGGACACAGGTGCATGTGTGCCCCAAATCCCAAGAGAAAAATGGAGGGGAAGGGACTGCAGTGTGGCCCCCTCCCCAGGGATGATCTTTCTCTCTCCCTCCTCCCTCTGGAAAGCATGCATCCAATAGCAAAACTTAAAAAAAAAAAAAAAAAAAAAAGAAAAAAAACTAAAAATTAGTGTCTGTTACTTTTTTGGGAAACAAATTACAAAAAGCACTTGCCTTTGCTGCTTTCTTGTCTCCTTCAGTGCGTACACCTAGAAGACGTCTCAGCAAGAAGTAGGAGATTTCCAGTTCTGTAAAGATCTCAGGAAGTGCTCCAACTGCACCAAGTACCTGCCCCACCATTCTGTCAGCCCGGCACAAAGTGGGGTCAATTTTTGTTCCAACACCTATTGTAAAACAAGATGTATATAGTCCACCCTTTTATTTCCTAAAATATCTTTAAAGTGAATGATTTACACAAAGGCTTTCTCAAACACAGCATATATTTACACATCTTAATACATAACTTGTATTTCCACACTCACCTAACAGCTACCCAGACATAACAAAATACCTATTGCATCTGAAGAAACAGAATTGTAAACTCATGAGTTCATTAACCAATTGAGAACAAAAAGATTCCCTTGATTTAAGTTTTGAATTAAGGGCTAATAGAGATAATAACCTAACTCAAAATGAATTAGAATGTCCTTAATGAAGGTTAAAAAAAAAATACAAAATTCATAATGAGTAGTTTGCATAATATTTGCATGTCATTTCTCTCTAAAAGGCAGTCCAAAAACATAGCTTAAAGACTTCATATATGACTCCTGAGATCTATTTCAAAATATTTTATCTGTGGGGGCCAGCAAGTGGCATGGTGGTTAGAGGTGATAGATTCCCATATGGCTGACTGCAGTTTGAGTCCTGGGCCTGGCGGCTTGCTTTCTCGCTTTTCCTTTCTTTCTGTCTATCTCTAGTCAGATTAAAAACAAAACAAAACCAAAAAACCCACAAATTGAATTAATTAAATAAGTAGCCCTTAAAAAACTTTTTATCTGTGTTATCTTTGAGGAAAGAGAGAAAACTACATACATAGATGAAACAGGATTGGTAAAATATTGGGGCCAGCGGGTAGCACAGTAGTTAAAAGTACTGTACTTCCACATGATCACCTGTGGTTCGAGTCTATCACCTTGAATTCTCACTGAATTTTGCCTTTTTCTGAATATCTGATAATACAGTAAGTTGTAAAGAACTAGAAAATCCTTTAATTAATTCAGTACTTTGTACACAATGGAAGCATCTTCGTTTATGACCACTTCAGTGTTAAAATCATCTGACATTCAAATGACATTGAAAGTAACTTACCATTTGCAAAACATATCTAAGAAGCAACTATTCTCTACCTTAAAAACTGTTCAGGGACCACCAGTTAGTGTAATGGCTATGTCGCTGGACTCCCATGTAGTCGACTGCAGTTTGCGTCCCGGACCCGGTGGCTTAAAACTCACGCCAGGCGCATGTGCATGCATGCCAAGATCCCAAGAGGAGAATGGAGGAGAAGGGATTGCGGCGTGGCCATCCCCCCTGGGGGGTGATTTCTCGCTTTCTGTCTCTGTCTGGTGAGCGGACGTGCCCTATGGCAAAAACCTCTCTAAAAAAGACAAACAAACAAACAAACAACTGTACAGACCCCTCCCCAATCCCCCCCCTAAAAAGGTATCTTAAATGCTAGGTCATAGAACTTATTCTGCTATTACCAAGAAGGAGTTACTCTATTTACTAAACCAGCATGTATTCTTTGTATTTAAAAATAAGTTTTACAAACACATAAAACCATCTATTATAACCTAAAACCAACAGCTTACCCATGTGAATGTTTTCCCACTCTATTCATCTATTAAAATAAATCAACTTAAAATCTAGAACATTTATCTTTTTGCATAATCCATTTCTCATGCAAGTATACCAGAAATATCCACAAAATGTGTCAGCCCGGCACAAAGTGGGGTCAATTTTTGTTCCAACACCAATAAGTCCCCCTGGAGCAGCATACTGAAGATCATTATGTTCCGCAAAAAGTGATACAATTTTGGAAAAGATTGGCTTACACATGAGTTTTCCTTCACTATCTTTGGAAACAATACCAGGTCTGACTTCAATCTCCTGGCCCACCTATAAACATAAAATTAGTAATAGAAATTACTGCAAAAAATACAACTTTCATTTACCTATCAAAAGTTCTAACAGAAAGACCACAAAACTAAAAAGGCAGTCCTTGGGACCAGCAGGTGGCGTGGTGGT